AATATATATATATAATATTATCAAAATTGTGTGTTACATCGGATGTAGATCATTTTCTTGACATAAGGAAATCCATCGAGGACACTTCTCCATGGTAATGAGTAACAATATCATGCGGAGAATTAATTCTGGCTCATGTTGGGCTCTCATAATGGTCGTTCATGCAACTTTTATCTTTAAACATATTACATAAAAATATACAGTATATCTATATATTACAAACATAATAATAGCCTTAAACAAAACGCCTAATGACAAACTCACATTCTTAAAAAAAGTACTATATATGCTTAATAAAGTGTTTAGGTGCAATAATATAAAAGAAATATGCACCCATAATAAGCAGGTAAGATAAATATCTACAAAAATAAAAAAATGTCAAGATCAGGCTAGAAGAGAAGCAAAGATTGTAAAAATAATGAATCCATGATACCAGAAATCCTAGACTAAATAACACTAAAGCTCAGGAGGGAACGCGAGAAGAGTCAGTTGAGAAACAGATTGACGAAGTGAAGAGAGTTCTGCTTCTAAAGAAGATATCTTAGAGTTTAAGGAAGAATTTTCATCCTTAAGCGCCTGATTTTCTTTGATAAGACTTTTACAGGAAGTTTGTCGCGAAGGGTCAACAAAAACAATGTTTAGATCGTTATTGTTCGAAGACATTTTATTTTGGAACAAAATATAGATTTAAGGATGATAGCAATCAGTACATAAGAGTTTCAAATAATAAAGTGTTGAATTTATGAATAAATGTTAGTTTACTCTTTTATCGCCTCACGCGGCGTAATTGTAACCTATATAAAAAAAAAATTATTTTTTTTGGGTGGGGCACGTTTATGCATAGCCAACAGTATGGCATATAAATTATATGTAAATTATGCAATGGTTTGTTGATTTTTTATTATAGTTAATACAGTAAATTTTTCTATATATAGATTGACCTACCGGCACATTACATCGTTACTGTTGATTTGGGGGTTGACCAAAAAAGGAAAATAGCCTTAAAACTTTATACGAATTTGGGGTCTTTGCCTTGAAAATCAAGTACGGGACATATAATTTACTATATTCCGTACTCGATTTTCAAGGCAAAGACCCCATTTGGTAAAATTCTGATTGCGAACTATATACAAGTGTCGCACATTCGTGTATTACTTTATGCAGATTAGTTGTAGATGTTGATTTAACATTACCGTACCCCAGCAAAAAGTAAAATTTTTTAAACTTTTAATCAAGAAATCCAGACAACTATCTGTATGAATCCATAGAATTCAAATAAAAAAATTTTATTGATTTGATCAGGTGGTTGCGGAGATATCTTCGCTCAAAGTTAGAGAAAAATCAAACTATCTCCAACGCTTATTAAAATAGAAGCTGCAGCAAATTTTTTCAAAAATTTGAAGATTTTTCCACAATCATCTGACCAAAATCAATAAAATTTTTTTATTTAATTGTATATATTAATAGAATTCAAATAAAAAGTTTTTATCGATTTTGGTCAGGTGGTTGTGGAGATATCTTTACTCAAAGTTTTGAAAAAATTTGCTGCAGCTTCTATTTTGATATTGAACCTAGGTGCCGCACAAAAAATGCGCGGCAGATCCTCGATTTTGATTGGCTAAGAGCGACAATCAAAAAATT